GGGGGTGCAGCTGGGGACCGGAGCCCGAGCTCGGGGCAGCGGGAGCGCGGGAAGGTGCAGGGGGAGCGGGGCGGTTCGGCCCCATGGGGTGCACGGGGTCCCGGGACCCCCCCAACGCTCGGTTGGTGCCCCCTGCCGCTCCCCGGAGCACGGGAACGGGGCCAATCCCGTTAATGTTTAACCGGCCGCCGGGGGCCGATAGCGGCGGGGCGGCACCGAGGCCGCGGTGCCGCCGGGCCCAGCGCAGGTATCACCGCCGAGCCGGGGGGCGCGTGGCGAGCAGGAGCCCGAGGCAGCGCCGGGGCCCGCGGGCTGGGGAGGGGGCGCTGGGGGGGGGGGATTAGGCCACCAGGGGGTCTTGGCTCCTGCAGGGAGGGGGTCGGGAAGTGCCTCTGTGCTGGGGGGGGTCCGGTTCCCTCCGCGCTCAGCCTGGTGGGGGGAGCACCGGGGGGTCCCAGCTGGTGCCCCCTGAGCTCAGCCCAGTGCTGGAGCCACCGCGGGGGTCGCAGGTGCCCCCGGCTCCGTGCTGCCCTCCCAGCCTCCCTTCCCCAAGCATCCCGGGCCAGACCAGCACGGGGGGCAGGACATGGAGCCGGAGCCGTCGGCGCCCCCTCCCGCCCACTTGGCCCCCATGAAATCATGGCCGGGGCTGCTGCGGGTGCTGGGGGGGCTGCAGCTGCTCTTTGGTGGCACCGTCTTCGCCTGCGTCTGCGCCTACGTGCAGCGCGACGCTGCGTGGCTCACTGGCGAGCTGCCCGCCTGGGGGGGCGCCCAGGGAGCCCCGCTGATGCCCTTCGTGCTCGTGGTGGCCACCGTGGCCTGGCTGCTGAGCGCCGTCCTGCTGGGACTCAGCGCCACCTCCTACCACCGGAGCGTCCTGCTCCGGGCGGCCTGGTGGCCCCCGACCAAGGCGGCCCTCCATGCCCTCCTCTTCCTCCTGTACGTGGCGGCCGCGGGGGCCTACGTGGACACTGTCACCCTTGGGGGGCTCTGCTCCTCGCCGCTGGCTGGCGGCCCCCTCCTCAGCGCTCTGTGCCGCCTGGCCGGGGGGCAGGCGGCCGCCCTCGTCTTCCTCTTCCTCACCGCGCTGCTCTACCTGGCCAGCAGCATCGTCTGCATCAAGATGTGGCGACACGAGGCAGCCCGGCGGCGCCGGGGCACCCACGTGAGTGCGCCTGGTGGGGGGACATGGGGCTGGGGTCCCAATGGGGCTGTAAGCAGTGACCGGGGCTCTGGGGTCACCCGGCCTCATGCTGTCCCCAGTGTGTCTTGCAGCCTCCGCATGCCCAGGTCCAGCACGTTGTCTTTGAGGATGAGATGGGGCCCTCCCAGGCAGGGAATGAGGCACCCACCCATGGGGAGAAGCTGGAGACTCCAGGACGCTCCATGTCCCTGGCCCGTGCTGTCCCAGACTATGTGCTGTAAGCAACGCCTGCCTGCTCCATGCACTGGGAACGCAGGGGAATTGGGGACAGGGCCCCCTCGCCCACCTCCCCAGGTCCCGGCTCAAGGGCCTGTCCCAGTTCCATGCACTGATTCCTGTCTTCCTGGTCCGGGCAGAAAGTACCCGGCGATCCGGAGCGCGCCGCAGAGGGAGCAGTACAAGGCCGTGTTCTGCGACCAGCTCGCCGAGTACCGGGAGCTGCGGGGCCGGCTCCGCGCGGCGCGGCGCGCGCTCGGCGAGCTCGACGCGCTCATGAGCCGGGCGCCGCGGCGCGCGCCCCGCTGGGAGGTGAGCCCGGCCTGAGCTTGCCTTAGGTGGAACAGCCCGCGCTGAGCTTGCCTTAGGTGCAACGAGAGAGGGGGCTGCAAGCTCTGCTCCCGCTGGCCAGACCCTCCAAGGGCTCCGAGCAGGAACGAGAGCCAGAGCCATGACCGTCCTGCCAGGAAGCCCGGCCCCAGCGGGAGCTGCCGCGCGGCCTTCCCGTTCCTGCTGAGCGGAAACGTCCCCCGAGGTTCCTGCTGGCCCCGAGGTCCCCGCTGGCCCCAAGGCTCCCGCTGGCCCCACGCTGAGCAGGGATGCTCGCCCTGGGGGGAGGCAGTGCGGGCTGGGAATAGGGTGGGCGGGCAGAGCCGGGGGGCTGGGAGACCCCATGCTCTGCGCCCGAGTTCTGCTTGAGAGGCTCTGCACACCCAGGATGGGTGCAGCCCCCCCCAGCCGAGCCCCCCAGCCCCTCAGTGCTGCTTTGGGCCTGCAGGAGCAGCAAAGGGTGACCCATGTCTGGCAGGACTACGTCAGAGTGAAGAGGGTGAGTAACGGGGAGCAGTGGGAGCCCCAGCCTGCCGGAGCCCCTGGAGCCCCCGGCCCCGCTGCCCACGGCCCCCGCTCCCCCAGACCCAGGGCCTGTCCCTCCTGGAGAAGCAGGAGCGCTGCAACTACCTGAGGAAGAAGCTGCTGCACATCAAGTCCCGGATCCGCGAGTACGACCATGCTGCTCCCGAGAGCTCCGTTTGCTTCTGAGCCTGGAGAGGTCCCTCCCCATCGCTGTCTGCTCTGGCCTCATCCCTGGGGACTCCCACTTGGATCGGCCAGGACTCCCACCCCAATTTGGGAGCAGCCCATGGGTTTCTGCACGGGACAGTGGAGTCCATGTGTACCTTGGGGTGCTGCTCTGGGCGTTCCTGCACACCGGGGAGCCCCGGGAGGTTGCGCTCACACACGTGCTGGCTGCGCGGGTGCCACGGCTGCGCGGGCAGGCGCTGCTCGGCCGCACAGCCGCCTCAGGGCTGCGGCTGCAGCCAGAGACCAAGCCAGGACTGTTTTAAATAAAGCAGGGTGTGTTTGTAGGGATGGGTAAGGCGGATGATGTGGTTAATGTGGTGGATGCTCCTCTTCCCCTCTCCGTACCGGGTCACCATTGAGGAAAAGGATTGAAGCCGTGATGGGGACAGGTCCACAGCTGCTTGCCTGGCCCCCCACCCCAATTCCTGGCACTCACAGGAGCCCCTGCACCACTGCTCCGGGGGCGGGAAAGCAGAACCATGGCCCCTGGGGGGTCCCCCACTGCCAGGAGGAAGCTTTGGGGACCACGAAGGGGCAGGGTTTGTGCCCTCACCTCTGAGTCCCCTCTTTTCTAAGACAAGAAACCGAAGTTTAGTTGTGAAGCAACCGCCAGGTCGTCGGGCAGCGCCGGGGGGAGCGGCAGGGGCAGCCCCCCGCCCCCCCGCCCCGCGGCTTGAATGAGCCGCGCGGGGCGGGCGGCTGAGAACGCGCAAACTCGCGGCCGGGCCGGGCCGGGCGGCGGCGGCGGCTCCCCCCGGAGGCGGAAGCGGGGCCGGGCTCCGTGCAGCGCCCGGCGCGGCCGTGTCGCTCGGCCCGGCTGCCATTTTAAGGTGAACAAAGCGGCGGAGGCGCCGCCAGGTACGTGGCTCCGCGCGCGGCTCGGCGCGGGCCGCGCGAACCGGGGTCCCCCCGCGCCAGGGGCCCTTGCGGGGCGGGGGCACCCCCGGCACCGCGTTCCCGCCGCGGCTCCCGCCGCCCTCCGGCGCAGCAGCGAGGGGCGCCCACGACCCCCGGGGTTCCCCCGGAGGTGCGCACTGGCACCGGGGTCCCAGCCGGGCACCTCGGGTTCCCCTCGGCCCCGGGGTCCCCACGGGCTCCGTGCTCCCCACCTGCCCCGCGCTTCCCACGGTACCGGGCGCCCCGGGAACCCCACGGCTCTGGGGTCCCCGCTACTCCGGAGCCCCCCCACACACACACACTCCCCTGAACGTGAGGCGACCCCGACCCCGGGAGCGGCGGGAGGAGGCGGCGCCGGGGCCGGGAGCGGGGCCGGGAGCGGGGCCGGGAGCCGGACTTTGCTCGGGAGCGGCGGGAGCGGCGGGAGCGGCGGCTCGGCCGGGCCAGGTGAGCGGCGCCGGCTCGGGCTCCCCGCGGCTCTGCGCACCGCGCCGTCGGGAACCATGGACGGGGCTCCCGGGCCGGCCGGAGCTCCGGGGCTCCCAGCGGGACACCTGAGACTGGGAACCCAGCGAGGGAAAGGGAGGAGCGGCTGGGAAAGGAGTTGGGAGCCCGGGTCCGTTCCCGGTCCCTGCGCGGGAGCCGCTGTCCGTGCGGTGGCCGGGGTGGCCTGGCCCGTGGGTCGGTGCAGGGCTGCAGGGAGGTGGCTGCAGGATGTGGCCGCAGCGGTTTTGGCTGCGGTTCTGCAGGGTTTTAATCGCTTTGGAGTGGTGGTTTGGCAGCGGCTCTGGAGGGGGTGCTGCGGTTCGGGAAGGCATTGGGGATTTGCTGAAAGAGTCCCGGATCGGATCAGTGCTCGGAAGCAGGGGGAGGTTCTGCAGCCCCAAAGCAGCAGGGCTTTGCTCCTAGATCTAGGGTGCTGTGAGCCACCCCCACCCCAGATCATGGAGCCAGGGTTGCTGTGAGGCCGCATCCTCCTTGGCCCTTTGAAACCCCTTGGAGGTGCCTCCTGGATCAGGTTGGAATCTCCCAGCTTGGGGTCCTGTCTCAGCTGCAGCTTAGGGAATAATAAACAACCTGTTCCCTGGGGGCCCTCGCAGGGCTGGGGGTGCAACACAGAGAGTGACATCACCCAGCTCCGTTGGGCCCCGATGCCGTCCCTGGAGCTGTGGGACGGATAGGTTTTCCCATGGAGGGGTTCAGGTTTCCACCACGCTCAGCCCTCACCTGTTTCCTGCTCTCCATTGGGGCCGTTTCTCTTGATTTAGGTCAAAGCCTCTGTGAGAGCCATTGAGGGGATGGGGAGCACAAGGGGGGCTCAGCCTGGGGTCTGTGAGAAGTCCCTGCTCCGACACCTGCACCTGGTGCTGTTGGAGCTGCTCGGATGAGCCCTGAACGGCTGCGGTTTTGCCTTTGTTTGGTGTGGAAATGGAGTGCGGCGGCTTTGTGTCGGCCCAGGACGAGGAAGAAGAGGAGCAGGGCTGGGCAGGGGAGTGCGGGCACCTGCCTGGGCACCCAGCCTGCTGTGAGCGGCGCCGCGCTTCCCGCGAGCTACTTGTCCTGCAGCTTCTCCCGGGCTCTGCAAACCTTGGCAGCAGCCCTCGGCCGGAGCGGAGCTCCCGAAACAGCTCCTAGTTTGTGTGGGGTTTGCGCAGGCGGGTCCAGCCAGCAGCATGGCCATGGCTGGGGCGTCGGGGGCGGTTCGGAGCCGCTTGCTGAAGGGACCAGCAAGGGAATTTGTCTCCCCCTTTCTGCCTGCCCGGCTTTGCTGCGTCTCCCTGCGGTGCCGAGAACGTCCCCGGTGCCGCTGCCGTCGCGGACGGGTTTGTGCCGTGGGGCGTTGTGCAGCAGCGTGGGGCTCTGGGTGCCACCTCAGGGACCAAAGTCCCCTCTGGGGTTGGGGAAGTGCCACTGGTCCCCACTCTCTGTCCCTCTCTTCCCCAGGCTCCCTGCGGCTGCTGGACCCCCCCGGCACCATGTTCAGCAAGAAGCCCTACGATGGCCCCCCCACGGGCTATGGCCCCCCAACAGGCTACGGGCCGCCCACGGGTGGCTACGGCTACAGCGTGCACTCGCCCCCGCCGGGCTCCTACTACATCGAGGACGTGCCCCAGCACTTCTACAAGTGGAGCTCGCCGCCCGGCGTGGTCAGGATCCTGGAGGCCATCGTCATCCTGCTCTGCATCGCCATCTTCGCCTGCGTGGCCTCCACGCTGGCCTGGGAATACGGCTATGGCTACGGCTCCACTTTCGGCAGCGGCCTGGGCGGCTACCTGGGCGGCACCGGCTACTACGGCAGCGGCCTCGGCTACGGCTCGGGCTACGGTTATGGTTACGGGGGCTACTACAGCGGTGTCACCAACCCGCGGGCGGCCAATGGCTTCATGATCGCCATGTCCGTGCTCTGCTTCCTGGCCCAGCTGGGCTTCTTCGTGGCCAGCGTGAGCAAGGCGAGCAGCTCGCGCTCCCGCCGCTTCTACCTGGTGGTCATCGTGGCCTCCGCCGTGCTGGCCTTCATCATGCTCATCGCCTCCATCGTCTACATCATGGGCGTGAACCCCCAGGCGCAGATGACCAGCAGCTACTACTACAGCCCCTTGCTGGCCATGTGCAACCAGGTGTACAGCAGTGGCACCTATCTCAACCAGTACCTGTACCACTACTGCACTGTGGACCCCCAGGAGGTGAGCGCCGGGGGTCCGTGTGATGCGCAGAGCGGCACCAGGGTGGGCAGAGAGGCTGGGAGATTCTGGGAGGGATGGGGAGGTGCCTGGTGGGAGCTGGTGCTTTGGTGCCTCTGGCTGTAATGGAGTTTGAATCCTCCTAGGGGAGGATGGGGATGGAGGTGGGATGCGCTCGGCTCCGGGCTGACTCGCGGGGGTCCCGCTGGCTCTCCCAGCTTGTGGTGTGCGCGCTCCGTGGGGAAGGAGCCGGGATCTGCTGCAGAGCGAGGTCCAACAGCGCGGGTTTCGGACAAAATGGTGCATGGCGCCTGGGTGGGACCGGCGTGGCCGGTTCCCGGCCGGCTTGGCTGGCCGCGCCACATTCCTTTGCTCGGGAGCAGCGGGCGGGGGGGCCGCGGTCACCGCCTGCTGCCACCGCGCGCCGGGGCCGAGCGCTGTCCCGAGTCGCAGTGCGGCCGGGGGGAACCGGCTCTTGGGACCCCAGCCCTGTTGCACGGCTGCTCCCGAGGCCGGGCTGCCGGGAAGGCAGCGGAGCTGGATGCCAGCAGGCTCTGCGATGCAGCTGCTGTCCCCCAATCCTCACTGTCCCCAAGTCCCCAGCGAGCCTTGTGCTCCCTGTGGCTTCCCCACGCAGGGCACCTCACACGGGCTCTGCTGCCTTGCTCGGGGCTCTGAGACCGGGACCGTGCCCCCTTCGTGGGTTTAGGTGCGGGATAGCGGGGTGGCACTGTGGGACCCCCATATCTCAGCCCCTGCCTCTCCTACAGGCTGTGGCCATCGTCTGTGGCTTCCTCATCGTTATCTTGCTCTGCCTCATCTGCTTCTTCGCCCACAAGACGCGGAGCAAGATCTGGAAGTACGGGAAGCCAAACATCTACTGGGATAAGGTGCCGGTGGTGCAGGAGGGCCCCAACGTGGAGGAGTGGGTGAGTGGGAGCACAGCGCTGGCCAGGGCGTCCTGAGCATCCTGCTGGCTCCGGGAGCCAGAGGGAGCATCCTGGGGCTCTTCCCGGGGTTGGACGTGGCTGGGAGGGTTTGGAGCAGGTCCCAGTGCCGCGTTATCGCCGTCGGGACGAGCCGGTGCGCGGGGCCAGCAGGTCCCGGCGCTGAGGCCACCCTTGCTTCTTCCACGTGACGCTGTCGCCCCGGCCGGGCCGTGATTACACGGGCACGGGGCTGGCCCGGCCCGGCGCAAACTCCCCGAAAGACAAACAGGGTCGGGGCTGCATCAGATGGGCCGGACGCCAGGGCCGGGCGGCTCCGTCGGCTCCCCGTGCCGTGCCTACCTCGCCGTGCCGTTTACGGTGATACCATTCGGTTTCAGTCTCGTCAATGATTAACGCGGGACGCGGTGCGGGCATGGGCTTCCCCTGCCAGAATAATTCCCCAGCTGGAATAACAGCAATTTACCCTAAGTATTTGCTGCAAACCTGGGGCCAGGCTGCACGTTTGGGGTTCGACTCTGCAGTACGTGCGTGTCCGCGCGTACCCCGCGCTGCAGTGTTTATTTATCATTTTGCAAAAATACCTTTTGTTCTGCTGTATTTATTTGTGCTAAAACGTCCCTCCCTTGCAAAGCATTTCCCGGCCGCCGCGGCCCGTGTGACCGCGGGGCAGCCGGGACCCCGCGCGCTGCTCCCCAGCCCAGCGCCGCGGGCACCGCCACCTGCAAATCCACCCTGGGACGTCACGTTCCCAGCTTATGGCACGGAGCGAGATAAGGAGGTGACCTTCGAGAGGGCGTCAGCTGTGGCCCCGAGCGCCTCTCCCTCCGTCCGTCCCTCGCTCGCGGCATCTCTCCTGGTGGCAGGAGGTGACCGCGGCGCTTGCAGCTGCCGTCCCCAAGGCTGCTGCTCTGTCCCGGGCCAGGACCAGCTTCCGTCCTCGGCACAAACAAGCGGGATGCCAGGAAGGAAGGGGAGGGCGGGAGGCCGGCCGGGCGCGCGGCTGCCGGAGCAGCCCCGGCACGGCGGATGCGGCGAGTGCTCGAGGCGGGCGGGCGGCTGCATCGTCCCCCAGCCTTCCTCGTCCTTCCCAACATCCCAAATCCCGCAGTCCCGCCAGCTCCCCGTGCCCCCGTTGGGCCGCTCGGTGCTGCTGACCCTGACCCTCCCCTTTGCAGGTGAAGAACGTGGCGGACGGGGCCAGCGTGCAGGACGAGACGGCCACGCTGGCCTATTCGGAGAAGCCGGTGAGCCCCGTGCAGGCCCCCCCCTACAGCGCCCCGTCCTACAGCTACCCCCCGCCGCCGTCACACAACGGCTACGGCCCCCCCGAGAGCTGCGCCGGCCGTAGGTGAGCCGGGGAGGAGGAGGAGGGTGGCGGCGGGATGAAGGCTGCGGCGGTGCTGATGCCGCCGGCGCCCTCGCCGCGCAGCTCCCTGGGCGCCGCGGAGCAGCCCGAGCGGGCGCTGAGCACCAGCCCCGTGGCGGAGAAGGGCCGGGAGCAGCCGAGCAAACCCTCGGCTCGCCGGGGCCGCCGCCGCCGCCGCAACCCCGAGCTCGACGAGTCGCAGTACGAGACCGACTACACCACGGCCGTGGAGTCGGGCGACGAGCGCGACCGGGACTGCTGGGCCAGGTGAGGGTGCTGGGGCCGGCGGGGGGAAGCTGGCGCGTCCCTGGGGACGGCGGCGCCCTGACCCTGCCCTGCAGCCTCTACCCGCCCATCGCCTCGGACGGCACCCGCCAGAAGTACAAGCAGGAGTTCGACAGCGACCTGCGGCGCTACAAGCGGCTCTGCGCCGAGATGGACGGTGTCAACGACCGCCTGGCCCAGCTCAGCAAGCAGCTGGACACGCTGGCCGAGGAGAGCGCCCAGTACCAGGTGGGACCCCCTCCTTCCCCCCGCTGCCCGGGTGCGCGCAGCGTCCCCTGACGCCCTCTCTCGCAGGACGTGGCCGAGGAGTACAACCGCCTCAAGGACTCCAAGCGGGTGAGCGTGCGGTGCCGGGGCGCTCCGGGGTTTGCATCTGGACCCGAATGGGGCTCTGCTTTTGCATGGTGGTGGAGGCAGCACCCTGAGGTGTGATCTCTCGCCCTGGGTTCCTCTGTGCCTGAATGCTGTCCCCTTCCCGTTCCCATCCCGGTTGCTCCTGGCCTGGGTTGCACCCCTGGCCCTGATGGACCCCTTGTGCCTGGGCTCTCCCATCCCTCCTGTCCCATTCCCGCTGTCACGTCCCTGTCCCCGGGCTCACGGGCACCCGCCGCTGCCTTGCAGAGCGCCGAGTACCAGACGAAGAAGGCGGAGAGCAAAGCGCTGCGCAACAAGCTCTTCCACATCAAGCGCATGGTGAGCGACTACGACAAGACGCGGGGGTAGCGCCTGCGCCCCCCCCGCCCCGGGCACCCCCACAGACTCAGGTGCACTTTGCACCTCCTTTTTATAAGAAGCGAAACACACCCCGAAGCAGCCCCGGTGCTCTTGGTGCCAACCCGCCCAGGGGCTGGGCGGGCTCCGTGCCCGCTGCTCCCCGCCACTCACTGTGAATATTCGCCACGTGCCTTGGCCCTTTGCAAGCGAGGCCCCGCGTCCCTCCCGCCCTGCGCGGGCACAGGGGTGACCCTGTGCTGGCCGCACCGGTGCTGCGGCTGGGAGGCACGGGGGGGGCTGCAGGCGCAGGGATGCGGTGGGACCTGGCGTCGGGGCCGGCCCTGTGGCCGCTGTCCCGGGCTGGGAGGCGTGAGCTGCGTCCTGGTCCTTTTTGTAAGGAATAAAGTGTATCTATTGATTTTAGCTGGGTGCTGCTGGGCAGGGTGAACCCTAGGGGTGACGGCACTTTGTGGGACCCGTCTCAGTGCTGTAGGAAGCTGTGGGATTCCTTGGATGTGCCTCCCTGGGCACCGACCTGCCCCTCTACCTTGGCTCCAAGGCCCTGCTGTCGTCTCAGCAGCATTCTTGGGGCTCGCAGTAGCGGGAGCCGGGAATGCTGCGGGAACCGGGGATGCTGCAGGGCCCAGGGCTGGGCCAGACCTGGATTGGGAGCCCAGCAGCACCCCTGGCCTCTCCTGGAATGCAGGTCCCCTCGGGCCTCCCCGCGAGGGAAGCGAGGCTGGAACCATGGCGAGATTCAATCATCAACCTTGGAGCTTTCCCCAAGGGACCTGGAGCAGGGCTCTCCTCGGCGTCCGGCCGTGCGCCCAGCTCCCACGCCCTCCCCGTCCAGGGCTCTCGGGGGACAGGAAGGTGTGTGGGTGCAGGGGTCCTGCACCTGGGCTCCGCAGGCAAGGGGTGCAGACTTGCTCCAGGGATCCCGCAAGGGGTGCAGGATTGTTCTGGGGATTCTGCACTGGGGCCCTGCGTACACTGGGTGCAGGATTGCACTGGGGATCCTCCATCCCAGTCTACGTGCAACGAGGGCAGGATTGCACTGGGGATCCTCCATCCCAGTCTACGTGCAAGGAGGGCAGGATTGCACTGGGGATCCTCCATCCCAGTCCACGTGCAACGAGGGCAGGATTGCACTGGGGATCCTCCATCCCAGTCCACGTGCAASGAGGGCAGGATTGCACTGGGGATCCTCCATCCCAGTCCACGTGCAASGAGGGCAGGATTGCACTGGGGATCCTCCATCCCAGTCCACGTGCAASGAGGGCAGGATTGCACTGGGGATCCTCCATCCCAGTCCACGTGCAASGAGGGCAGGATTGCACTGGGGATCCTCCATCCCAGTCCACGTGCAACGAGGGCAGGATTGCACTGGGGCTGGTGCAGTGGGTGGAGGTTCCTGCACCCGGGATCTGCGTGCAGCAGGTGCAGGGCTGCTCTGGCTGCAGTGTCCGCTAGAGGGAGGAGCGCTCCGCATGCATCCGTGCTCCATGTCCGTCCGCGCTCCAGCTCCTTGTGCATCCGTCCGGCCGCAGCCATTCACCACAGGGACACTGGGGTAGTTGTTGCTTTCTGAGGGTCCTTCCCCAGGCATGTCCCTCCGCTGGAGCTGGCTCCATCAGGGACCCCCCTTTCACACCAGCGCCCCGGCATTGTAAGAAACATCTTTATTGACTTCAGTTAATTTGTTTAGTATCATTGAACAAGGATTATATCTGCAGTGAATCAATCTAAATGACAAATCCCCGCCTAATCCTGCCTTCGCCTGTTTGCACAGTATCGCCCTGAGAAGCAGCACCCGGGGGGCTCACGAGGGGCTCCGCTGTCCCCCGGGCCCATCCTCTGCCCCCGTCCCCCACTTTGGTCCCTGGAGCCCCCCGGCGCAGGCCATGCCCATGGAGGGGATGCTCTCATGCACCAAGCGAGTGAGCAGCAGCCTGGAGGGGGCAAAGCCGTGGGCACCAGGGGTGCAGGGAGGGGAAACTGGGGGCAAAACCCCATTTTTTGTCCCCAGTGTCACGCAGGGCTGGGTGCTCCCGGCTTCCCGGCACCCGCTCCGGCCTTGGAGATGCTTCAGCAAAAGTGCGAGGCCGGAGCTGGGTGCAGAGCTTCAGTCCTGGGGGCCAGGCTGGGCACAGAAGGACTCGGCCACCCCCTGCCTGCGCCGGAGCCGGTGCTCCGAGCCTCATCCCTGCGCCTCCCTCCCGACATCCACCCTCAAGACGGAGGCAGTGGGTCAGGGCCTGGCTCTGACGCTGGGAATAACCCCTGGGCCCGGTCCAAAGTCCCTCTGCCCTGCTTGGAGCCCAGGGGCCCAGGCGTCCGAGGAAAAGTTCAGCGTCCGAAGGCAGCGCGGCGGGCGGCAGCGCGCTCGGCCTCGCCACAAGCTCGCTGGTGGTGCCGGGCTGGCGCAGCCCTACTGCCCCGTGCCGTAGGGCCAGTTGAAGGTGCTCCCGGACAGCAGCATGTCCCTGATTAGTGTTTCGATGGGCGTCTTGCCCACGAGGCGCATGAAGAAGAGCTGGGAGATGAGGGCGGCGGGCACCGCGCGCAGTGCCGGCAGCCGCAGCAGCAGCCGCCCGAAGCGCTGCGGCTGCGACGGGTACTGCGAGCGCACGTACTCGGTGAGGGCCACCTGCGCCTTCTCCTGCAGGCTCTCCACGTGCGCCGGGTCCGAGAGGCCGCAGGCGTCTGCAAGGGGACAGGGTGGTCAGTGGGGAGGGGTCCCCAAGGCCTCGCACAGCCGCATCCCCCCAACTAGGGTCATTAAAGGCTGTCACCTCCGGGCAGCTCCCAGCCGGGCTCTGGGAAGCAGCCTGGATCTGGCCCTGGGGATCACTTAGATGCTGCAAACAGGAGCAGGAGTCACCTCCAAACCCTCCCAGAGGAGCCCTGGCTCCAAACCCTCCCAGATGAGCTGCTCCTCTGGGAAGCAGCTGCTCCCCCGGTCCCCTCTCCAAGCCTGTGGCTTCCTGGGACAGACCAGGCGCAGCCGCGGTGGTGGCAGCAACCTACCGGGTGTGAAGAGCGCGATGGCTTTGAGGCAGCTGTACTCGGCCGAATCCACCTGCAGCCGGTTGAGCTTCTCCACCTGATCCTGGAAGATGCGGATCTGGTCCATGAAGGAGACGACGCGGTCGGCCGACATGGGCGCCGCGTGGAAGCCGGCGGCCGCCAGCAGCGGGGCCATGTGCAGCGGCAGCGCCGACTGCGCCGCGTTGAGCACGAAGAGCTCGCTCCAGCTGAGGCGCAGCAGGGCCACCTGGTCCGAGACGGGCAGCTCCGGGAAGAAGGGGATGTTGCGGGCCCACTCCACCGTGCTGAAGAGCAGGCGCGCGGCCAGCTCGCAGATGTTGTCGATGCCCATGACGCTGCCTTGCTGCGCGTACTGCGAGCCGTAGCGCGCCGCCGGGTAGGGCTCAGCGCGCAGCAGCTGCGAGATGAGCTCCGACACGGGCTGCCCGTTGAAGTACTCGCTGCTGGGCAGGGTGTTGGGGCTGGTGCTGGAGTGGCTGGGGGGGATGCGGCCCCGCTGCACGGCTGTTGAGCGGGGAGAGGGGTTGTGTGAGCCGGGGATGGCATCCTGCATCCCAGCCCTCCCACATCCCGTATCCCAGTCCTCCCGCATCCCAGTCCTCCCACATCCTAGCCCTCCCGCATCCTAGCCCTCCTGCATCCCACATCCTGTATCCTGCATCCCAGCCTTCCTGCTCAGCGACTCTGGGAGCGAGAGTTGGCATCTTGGCACAAGCCACCGGCAGGACCCGCTCCGATCCATCCGTGTCCTGCTGAGCCACCAGCAGCTCCCAGGCAACTCACCCAGTCCATGGCCACGCTGGGCTAGGACACAGTCGCAGGAGCCCTGCGGCTGTGGCCACGCCAGGCCATGCTGGCACTGCAGCAGGGCACTCGCTGGCACCTGCGCTTGCTGCCCAAGGTCATTCCGTGGCAACAATCATTTATTTGCAAATAAAACGTCCATCTTGGAAGCGTCGTTAACCCCTGGGCGCTCCTCCATCCCAGTTGTGTTCACCTAGGGCCATTTTTCAGCTCCCCCCCTCTCCCATTAGCGCCCACTATTTGCTCAGTCCCTGGTAATTAATTTATGAGCTGTTCACGAGCCACTTAAATGAGAGCTATAAATCATGCTAAGTGGCAATAACGCCATCCCGGCTCCTCGGGAAAGAAGGGAATTACTGTCCTGCTTCTCATATCCTTCCCCTGCTCCCTGTATTAATGGAGCATCCCGGGGCCGCGGCAGAGCTGGCAGCAGCCCCCTGGCCGCTAGAGCTCTGTTTCCCATCAGGGCCCCCAAAGGCAGCCCTGTCTGCAGCCACCCAGGAAGCATTTGGGGTTCAGAGGGTGCCGGGGAGCAGAGGGCGAGCGGCGGCGTTGCCAGGCCGGAGGGCACGGCAGGGCACGGCACAGCGTGTCCGGGGATTTGCTCGCTCTGGCAGTGCTCCCGGCCGACCTCTCGCCCGCCCAGGGCTGCGGCTCCAGGTGTGTCCCCTTATCAGCTCCAGGCTCCGGCTTTCCAAACAAACACCAGCTGCCCCGGGAGCACCAGCGCCCAGGCCCACGGGAGCAAGGAGGGGCCGGCGGCGCTGCCGGCGGCGCTGCGAGCCCGGGCACGGCCGGAGCATCCCACCGCGTGTCCCGCGCGCTCCCGGCGCTGCCGGTACCTTCCTTCCTCATGCCCACGCGGAAGCACTTCTTCAGGCGGCAGTACTGGCATTGGTTGCGGTGGTGCTGGTCAATCTGGCAGTCGCGGTTGGACCTGCAGGAGAGAGGCGGGTGCGTGAGCCGGGCCCCGGCCGTGACCCGGCTCCGGCCTCCTCGGCAGGCGCGTGAGGAATTCCAGCTATTTCCTAGGGGAGCACCGGGCTGCGGAGGGAAAGGGCCAAGCAAAGCCCTGTCCGACGGGCTTGGGCACTTCCAGCTGCTCCGGGAGGGCAGGGCTGAGTGTGACCCCGGCACGGACATGGGTCACCTCCCAGCACATCCATCGCTGCCCTGCGGAGCTTCACATAGTGTCCCCGCTGCATGGGGGCTCCGCGCGGTTTTGGGGTGACGATGCACTCCAGAGCCCCCGTGAACACTCCAGGGGCCCGCGCACGCGCCGGCCATCCAGGATACGGGATGCAAGCTCAGCATTTCTTGCAGGCAGGGGTGTCCCCGGGTGGACATTTTTGCATGAATAACCCCATGCCTGCAAAGTGGCTCTGCAGGGAACGCCCCTGGGAATGCCCAGCTCCAGACTGGGGACGAATCTGGTGAGGGAAGGGGGAGCAACAGAACGGGACATGGGAAGGGAGGAGGGCGGCGGGCTGGGAGGCCTGGGGATACCAGTGAAAGAGCCATAAAATGAAGGCCCATAACGGCAGCGGCAGCCTGCGGGCAGGGCCAGGGCCGTGCGGCAACACGGACACAGCGGCCGCACTCCCGCACAGCTCCGGAGCGGAGCGAGGCCGCGTTCCCACGAGCCTGGCTTAACTCGGCCCCAACATCACCGCCGTGCTCGGGAACGTGCGGCCCGGAGCAGCTCTCGGAGGGAAGGCGGGAGCTCAGGGCAGCGCCCCATTCCGTGCCCGTGCGCCCCGCGGATCCGCGCTGCAACGTGGCGCCAGGGCCTGGGCACCCCGCGTGCCCGCGGCCGTGCCCGACCCGGCTCTGACGGCCTGGGAAAGTGCGGGAGCACAAAAGGCAGACACGGCGCTAATTATATAATTAGAACGGGTAATTATTTAGTGCCAGAGCGGCTCTGAACCCAGCTCACTTTTAGTAGTCAAATGAGAGCAGCTCAGCTGGCGGCTGCCGCGGCGAGGCGGGAGCCTCGATCCCGGGCCCTCGGCGTGTGGAAAGCCATTTTCCAGCGGTGCCCCAAATTGCTCACAAGCACAAAGTGAGGCGGGGGAAAATACCCACAGCTCCTTAAAGAGGTGCCCGAGCAGCAATGTGGCCTGCACGAGGGCCGTGCACGAGGGCAGCGGTGCCATGCACAGGGCTCAGCTCCCTTCATTCCCGCTGCGATTCGGAGCTGCTGGTTGCATCCGCGTGCCCTGCCTGTGGATAGGGCTCCTTGCACCGCTGCCCTGCAGCACCCACGGGCACCTCCACTTCTGCTGCTGGGTGGGCAAAGGGAGGCCCGGGCGCGGGGACCCTGAGCGCTGGGGGATATTGCCTGAGCGGCTGCAACTGCAGAGCCCGCGGGCGTTGGGACCAAGCGCCGGGTGCCCCCGCCTGACGTCAGCCCCGAGCTGGCACCGGCAGCGGAGCCACTGGCACCCAGGGGAGGACGTGAATCTAGGCCGCCGCAATTGGGAGCAGCGCGGCGGGAGCCGGAGGCGGACGGAGCTCTGCGCCGCTTCCCAGCTGGATCTCACCGCCAGGCGACGAAGGTCAAAGCCGCCGGGCGCCTCCGCGGCGCCGCGCCAGCTGCTCCCAGCACCTCGGGGTGCTGCAGGACTCGGGGTGCTGCAGCCACCGGGCTGGGTGAGCAGAGGCCAGTGCTTGCTGGTGCCCTCTGAGCCCTCATCACCCCCAAAATGTGCCGTGATGGGAAGCCAGGCAGCAGCCCGGTGCCAGAGCGGGTGTGCGACCCCGGCCTCCTTGTAGGGCCCAGAGGTTTCACAGGAGACAAGCGATGGCTGGTGACACCTCCAGTACAGTCACCCTCGCTGTCGCGCTGGTGCTTCCCCAGGGCAGCGTGGCCGCGGCGCAGCTCGCGCCAGGCCTGGCGCTCGCAGGCAGCAGCCTGGGGGGGTTAATAGCGGGTCGGAGGAGACTCTCGCTCCCCGGCCATGCTTCGTGCCCCATGTCGCCCCTCGGGGCTGGGGATGCGCGGGCGGAGGGGCCACTTCTGCACAGCCGGGATGGATCCGGAGCTGCAGCGGGGCCACGGCAGGGGGATGGTGCCAGCGCCACCGTGGAGCTGCGCTGGGGCGATGCCAGGGGCCTTGGCGCAGCCCCTCTGGGGCCACCAAGCAGTGATGTTGGGGAGCCCCCGAAAGGCCACAGCAAGGCCCCTGCCCGGCCACACTGGGGCCACCATCGGACTTGCACCAGGGCCACCATGCAACCGTGCTGCCCAGCCGCAGCAAGGCCACCGCGCGTTGCACCGAGGCCACCACGAGAGCTGCACCGCGGTCACCGCGGGGGCTACACGGGGACCCCCTGGGTGTCACCCCGCGGCGCGGGGGCCCGTGCCCTACCTGCAGGTGTAGCTGAGGTTCCTGCGAATGCTGCGCTTGAAGAAGCTCTTGCAGCCCTCGCACGTGAAGACGCCGTAGTGCTTCCCGCTCGACTTGTCGCCGCACACGACGCAGTCCACGGGCGCCCCGGCGCGCTCCTCCTCGCCGTGCTCCGCGTCGCTGCCGCCGCCCGCCGGCGACGCCGCCTCCTCGCCGCCGCCGCCGCCGTTGGGCTCGCCCCAGCCGCCGGCCACCATGGCCATGGCTCCCGCTCAGCGCCGGCCCCGCCGCCGCATGGAGCGGCGTCCGCGGCGCCTCCGCCGCGACTTGAGCAAGTTTT